TGACATATTTAAGGGTTCCTGGAAGAGATCGTCCAGTGGACCCCAAAGGTCCACAGCAACACTGCCTCAGAAGAGAAGCCCTAAGTAAGAGCTTCAAGTAAACTGAGTCCCACACTGGGGACTAACGGCCTGACACACAGACCCTTGGGTTCACAGTCAGCTACATCCAGACCACAGCGCCTGTCTCATTTCACACTGCACCCAGAATGCACCTGTCAGTGCCCACGCTTCCGAGTCTCCTATGCATGCAATCATAGCTGATGCATTTCTCTACAACATGGCTCACTAGTTCACCATCATGAGCCACAGTTGCACCAGTGCTGATCACAGCAGCTAGCCACAGATGCACCAGTGCTGATCACAGCAGCTAGCCACAGATGTACCAAAGCTGATCACAGCAGCTAGCCACAGATGTACCAACACTGATCACAGCAGCTAGCCACAGATGTACCAACACTGATCACAGCAGCTAGCCACAGATGCACCAATGCTGATCACAGCAGCTAGCCACAGATGCACCAGTGCTGATCACAGCAGCTAGCCACACATGCACCAGTGCTGATCATAGCAGCTAGCCTCAGATGCACCAATGCTGATCATAGCAGTATAATCTGCTCTCTTTCATGAAATGGTTCTCTACAGCTCATCTGTGTCACCATGCTGGACACAGGGTTGCATCTAGCTCTCCATCTCCAAAGAGCACATCAGGATTCACACTGCTATCTGTTGGTGGTTTACTACGATACACTGCAGAGGACCCATGTCCTCCCTTCCAGAGGAGCTTGGGCAGTCAATGCTTGGTCTCTTCAGGGAATTCTTGCTTATTTTTGCCAAACTGAAAAATATGAATTGATAACTTTCGGCTGCTTTTAAGATGTGTTTGCTAAGCCAGGTGATGGTAGCACACACCTTTCATCCCAGCACTTGGGAGGCAGAGGCAGGCAGATTTCTGTGAGTTCGAGATCAGCCTGGTCTGCAGAATGATTTCCAGGACAGTCAGGACTACACGGAGAAATCCCATCTCAAACAAAACAAAACAAAAACAAAGATGAATTTGTTAAGGTATTAATGAGGTTTGACTTTCCCCCAAGTTTAGGGATAGTAAGTCATTTACTTATGGGTAGAGAAGCTTTATGTTAGAAACAGAATGTTAAACTGTGGAGATGGAAAGATGGCTCAGTGGTTAAGAGCACTGGCTGCTCTTGCAGAGGACCTAGGTTCAGTTCCCAGCACCCACAGTGCAGCTCACAACCACCTGTAACTACAGCTCCAGGGGATACCATGCCCTCTTCTGGATCCACCCGCACCAGGCACACACTTGGTGCACATACACACATGCAGGCAAAACACATAGACATAAAATATTGTAATTTAACTGAGTTGGGGGTAATTTATTTATTTATTTACATGTATGAGTGGTGCCTGCATGTTATGACTGTGCACAACATTTGTACCTGGAGGAGGCCAGAAGAGGGTGTCGGGTCCCCTGAGACTGGAGTTACAGACAGTTGTGAGCTGTTATGTGGTTGCTGGGAATTGAACCCAGATCCTCTGGAAGAGCAGCTAGTGCTCTTCACTGATGAGCCATCTCTCCAGCCCCCGAAAAAAGAAAAATTAATGAGAAACTTCTAAAAATATCAAAAATTGAAAAAGTAAACATAAATTTGAAGAATTTATAATAATTTATTAATAATAAATAAACACTAACTAGTGAAAGCTGAGGCACTTTCACTAGTTAGAAAGAAGAAAGATGCGCTCATCATCACCTTGGGAACAACAGAATCCCAGTATATTATTTACCACTTGATCCATTCTAAATTCTATGAAACTTGAACATATCCAAGTCTGACAGAATCTAACACCTTAGCTTTGCCACTGCAGAAGACAAGTGACCACTGAGGTACAGAAGTCGTCAGAACCATTAGAGAGCGCATGCTGCCCAGGCTTCCATCTTTGAGACAGAATCAGAAAGCACCAACTTTCCAGAGAAGATGTTCAGCACACACCTCTAACCAACCAGGGACCAGCCTGTTCCTCAAGCTCAGTGCTAGAAGGCCTTTTGGCCCTCAGTCCCATCACCTCCTTGAGTGTCTCAAGGAATGGAGCTTGCCTCTTGGGTTGATCCAGGCCAGTCTGGTTGGGTCTGGGTCTCTCTTGCAGATTTCCAAACACAGGCTTATTCTTCACATTAGGGACTGGTAACAGAAAGCCTCTATCAGCAAGTTCTGGGCAAAAGCCAGGCAGTCCTAAGTGACAGGGTGAGCCCTCCTGGAAGTCTCCTGGGCTCCCTGGTAGCTAGCTAGCCCTGAGAAGCTGCACAATCCAGCCTCTTGTGAAACCTCTTTCCAAATATCTGCTTTGAAGACTTGTCATAGGCTGACTCAGGAACAAACCTATTGGTGAAATTATTTTGGTCACTCCACGTAGTTAAAAGGATATTTATTTAATGGCATAACTCACAAATTAAGTAATAGGTAGGTCGCAGGGTCTGGGGAAGGTGTACCGCAGTCCAGCGGTGTTCTCTGGAGCTCTGCACAGTCCACCTCCACCATTCAGCGTCCTGGCACAGAGAGAGCGCACAGAGAGAGCACTGGCCCATCCAGCTCTCGGGTCTCCAGGTGCCTCCCCTGGGCCTGCTTCATAGGCGTGACAGTTGCCAGAGTCTCAATGGGGGTTGGAACTTCCAGATCCAAGCTGGAATGGCTACCCACTACATCTCCCCCTTTTTGTCTAAATAAGAAGGTTCTAAACTAATACAAGACTATATACAAAGGAATGG